AATGTCCTCATCCGCGACCGGCACTAAATCGCGACCTTCCTCAATTCGCATTAAAAACGTCTCGGCATCTTCCCCTCGAGTTCCCGAAAATTTCAAATTCCATTTCCGCATGACATTATACGCGGTCATCGCGGAATTTTCTGGTGTCCCGCGCGACGATTGGTGTCCGGCCGAACGCGGAGTACGGGGAGACTGTGATGGTTCCCGCGCCCCTCGATCCGCCATGGGCTATCCGGACGAACCGGCTCCTCCGGAGGGAGCTCCAGATGGTCGTGATCCGACATTTCGTCTTCTCCTTCCGCGAAAGATAATCGAATTCCGGTACGGTCGCCCCGCACGCGACGCAATAATCGAGCGGTTAAAATCGAATAACTTCCTTTGGTTGGAGGTCTTCGCCTATTTAATTCGTCGATAAGTTGTTCGTGATTTAATACGAAAACCCACTCGTCCTCGGGATCTACACGACTCATACGGTCTTCTCGACTTTCCTATTCCAAACGTAAACACACGCGACCGTTACACGACGAAAATAACATAGCAAATACCCCAAAAGAACAAAAATGATATCTCGAACAAGTGATTTTTTGTTTTCTTATCAAGAGCTGAGAGTAAGCGTTCTTCGTAAAGTCTTTTTCCCGCAAACGTCATCCTTTTTCCACGCCAATGCGGACTCTATCCTTTTCCTACTCGTGCATACCTCGCGCTATCCTTCTCGCACCACCTTGCAAACGCTATCTCTCTCTCCCACGTGCATGCAAACATTTCGCGCTATCTCTCTCTCTCTCTTTCTTTCTCTCAAGTGCATGCGAACGCCATCCTTCTCCCACATGCATGCAATATCTTCGCGCCTTTCTTTTCCAACGTGCATGCAAACGCTATCCTTGTCTTACGCTCATATGGACGCCTCGCGCTATCCTTCTCCCACGCCTCCTCGCGGCATTGCGTTCCCTCTTCCCCGCGGGTCCCTCGCTAGTCGATTTCGTGCGGGTCCCCTCCCCCTCTCCGCGGACCCCTCGCCTACCGGTTAGGTTAGCGGGTCCCTCGCCTATCGGTTAGGACGCGGTCCCCCTCCCCCCTCACCGCGGACCCCTCGCCAACCGGTTTCGCCGCGGTCCCCCCCGCGTGACGTCATACCCCCCGCGCCGGTTTCCCCTTGCCCATCACCGCCCCTCAGAGGACCAGGGTTAGAACCGGCCTAGATACACTACTCCTCAAAAATCCAACGGGCAGACTCGCGAGATGGGCTCTAGAACTCTTGGAGTATGACTACGAGATAATTTACCGGAATGGTGCCTGGCATCACGTACCGGATGCCTTATCGCGAATGTATGAGAGTGACACCGAGGTAAAAATAATGGTTGCCGTAGAGGCGGACATTATCGCGAATACGACCGACGCTTGGTATCTCAAACGTTGCGGAGAGGTCACGAATGGACCTCGACGTTTTACAGATTGGCGAGTAGTGGATAATCAGTTATATTATTGCAGGCCCAAAGCTATTGTATCGGATATTGTGGAGGACTTTGACCGATGGAAGCTGGTACTACCGAAAGAATTGAGGGAAAGTGCTTAAAGAGGCACACGACACACCGCAGT